TAGCCAGTGTTGATGCACTTATGACATCTTTTTCCAGTGGTACCTCTGAAACATCCAGCACTGGCAGGCAAACAACCTTCTATCAGAATCCATCCTGAGTCATGAGGCCAGTCCAGAACCATTTTGGTGCATCTCTGTCACTCTTGGTCACTGAAATATTAAAGGAAGACTTCTCAGGAAATGTAGTTCATTCATTCAACAAATATTCACCAAACACCAAGTGACAACTGTGTGCTCTAAGGAAATCACAGTGAAGCAAACAATTTACTGTTGTAAGATAGCTTCTATTCTAATGGAGCAAGGGAATCAAGGAATAGGAAAAGCACACAAAATGTTAGCAGGTTACAAGCTATGGAGAGAAGTGAGACAGTTGACAGGGTTAGGACAGGCACACTATTTGGGGCAGAGAGGTCCATATTACGTAGGGAGTTCAGGAACAGACTTACTGAGAGTGTGACATTTGAACAACAGCTGACTGGAGATGAGATGGCAAGTCTGCAGGATCTATGGGAAGAACTTTCCAGTAAGGGACTGATAAGTGCCAGCACTTGAAGAGGGGAGGGCATGTGCCATGTTGTAGTTACAGAAAGAGTTAAGTGGAAGGGAAATGCGGTCGGAGCAGTAATTGGCCACATTGTGTAGGGGCCTGCATGTCACTGTTAGGGCTTGCTTTTTCCCTGAGTGATCCAGGGAACTTTGTGATGACATTATTTAGGTGTGTCTAACTTCTCTTTATTTTGATTTAACCCTTTGGGAATCCCTTTTTCATTCTCATTCACACTGGTATCCTCCAGAGTGACTTTTGCTTGACCCTGACACCTGTTCACTCCAAGCTCTGCAAATAACCTGCGTAGACCCCAGCTTCTCAACACCGAGCTTCTCTGGTTCTACTCTTGAGATCACTACTTCCCTGCGACCAATAAAGGAGTAGCTGGTTCCTCCATGACCCACACAGCCCTTGTGCTTCCTCTGAAAGTTCTCAACTGTTCCTAAGAACTTCTCCTCCCCAAGGGCCAGGCCATTCCACTCCTTTGGCTACCGTGTGATGGCTTTGAATCCCACTGCAGCATTAATTCAAGACATTTGTCACTTGGCTGTCCCTCTTCACCTGAAGAGTTACTGGTGGCACGGGGGAGATCCAGGGCTGTGGGATGGAGGCCCTGACTTCATACTTCTTCGTCTAAAACACTTTTCCTTGCTGTCCAAAGCTAAAGCTCGGACCTAATTTTTCTTTCCTACAGAGTTTTCTTTTTCTTTTTTTAGCTCTAAATAGTGTTGAAAGAAATGGCACCATGAGAGAACTTGCCTAAGTTCTTAGCCCAGTCTCCAATGCAGCTGCCTACCCTCCCACCCCCTCACTCTCACGATATTACTTCTTGGCCTCCAGAGGGAGCTCAAGCCCTCAGTCTTGAGGCCTAGGACTATGGAGGATCCTGGATCCTGGATCAAGGATGCTTTGGGACAGACACAATTTTTTAAATCTCACGTCTTTTACTTGCTAACTATATGACACTGTAGGTTGCTCATGCTCTCTGAGACTCACTGTAAAACAAGGTATGTGTGAGGAATGAATACCTGAATGACATAAAGTATTATCACAGTACTTACCACTAAGTGGAAGCCAGTTGATTTTCTTTGAGTGGAATGAAGAGGTCAAAGGCTGCTTTTGTTCCTTTGGATGTGTTTCCTTTTTGTTTAAAGTAAGAATTTAAACTTTTCAAAAGCCTCTGCAGTGGTACTGCCACATAGCTGTGTGAAGGAATCCGGCCACCTCTTCCTTTGTAGCCTTGTTTGTGGCTCTGCTAAGCCTCCAAGGACTAGAGACTGTGTAGAAGCAGACAGTGGGCATAGGTGGTCATGAGGTATTTCTTTCTTGGGTTCATTGAACAGGGGATAAAAAGGCAATGTGTTTTCTGTTTTGCCATACAGATCGTTTCTAGATAGTGGTACAGAGGCAATTGTTACTTAAGAACCACTTAAAACAGCGCAGCCTTATCTTTTTGCTTAATTATCACAAAGAGGGGGAAAGGGATTGGACCTCCAATGGAAGCATGCCAGGTTTCTTTACAAGGTGGGCCAGGACTGATTGCTACCTCTCTCACCTCACATCCATTCTTCGACCCTTTACACTCTGGTTCCTGTCCCCTCCATCCCACTCAACCCTCTGGTCAGCACCTGGGTCAGGAGACACCCTGGAGCTGAAGGGGCAAGGTGTAGACTGTATTAAAAACTACAGAAAGGTAGAGATCTCATGGACAAAGAATGGTTTCTTAAACTATGACCTTTGAAAGTAAGTGCAACTGGGACTGGCACCGTGGCGTGGTGGGTAAAGCTACCACCTGCAGTGCTGGCATCCCATATGGGTGCTGTTTTATGTCCTGGCCGCTGCTTTCTATCCAGCTCCCTCCTAATGGATAGGAAAAGCAGGAGAGGATGGCCCCAGTGCTTGGGCCCCTACTACCCATGTGAGAGACTCAGATGAAGCTCCTGGCTCCTGGCTTTAGTCTGAGCAACTCCCATCCGGGAAGTGAACTAGCAGATGGAAGACCTTGCCTCTCAGTCTCTCCCTGTGTCTCTCTACCTCTGACTTTCAAATAAAAAAACAAATCTTAAAAAGGAAGTGCAACTACATAAATAATTATTGAAACATATGATATCTAGCACATCTCATTTGGAAAATGACAGAAAGCAAAGGACACCTCAAGAAAGTTTTGTTTTTTAATCTAACTTAAAGTATGTTTACAGAAGTTAAATGAACCAGTTAATTATGATAAAAAATATAAAAGATTTAAATACATTTAAGAGATATTTAAAGTAAATACACTTGAAACAAAATAATATAAGCACATAAATGATGCTCAACCTTTTCTGAAATGAACACAGAAAATAACAGAGTGATAATTATTAAAGAAAGGAATTTGAAGCAAAATGCAATAAATGTGTCCAAAAGGGAAGTTTTCTCTGTATTGCATTAAAAGTGCAATTCACAGTGCACTTTACAATATGCTGAATAGGGTAACATCAAAATATGAAGGAAAGTGCCTCTTGATCCAGAAGTTACTAAGAATATTTGAGAATATTCATAGCAGTACAAATGGAAACTACTCAAGTGAACATTGTCAGTCGAATGGATGAATAAGTTATGAAACACTCACAGAATGGAATACTATACAGCAGTGAGGGTGGGTGTTCTGCATGCAGCAGTCTGACTGACTCTCAGGGTCAGAATCCTGAGCCTGACCACCTATCAAAAATGAACACCAGTTCTGTGGCTCTGTATAGAGAAAGTAAAGCAGGAGAAATCAGGTGGAGATTTCTCTGGAAGGAAGTGATTCAGTGAGAGAGGTCAAGATAGTGGGGAGGGCCTGTGCCCTGGGGATGCTCCAGTTGTCAGCTGGCCTGGCTACACAGCCCTGCTGGTTTTGTGAGGAAGTTTTGGGCTGGCCGCTTGACTTGTGTGCTTTCACTTAAATTTATTTTATTTTATTTATTTTGATTATTTCTTTATTTATTCACATGTAGAGAACAGATTTCATGAATTTCATAGATACCATTCAAGAGTACAGTACTTTCCTCCCTCCTCCTTCCTTTCTTTCTTTTTAATTTGTTGTGATAACACACTTTCAATTTACTTTGTAATCACTGGTTCAGTGCTCCTCTAAACAAAGAGCTCTACATGTAAAAGGTAGTTAAGAAGGAAACATCAGCAGTACTGGATAACTATATACAAACATACTTAGTTTTGAGACTAGAATACTGCTTCAGGCTCACTGCTTTAAAAAAAAAAGCCAGATTTTTTAAAATAATTATAGCTAGATTATATTAATATATATTAGTTCTAAATCTTAAAAGACAAACACATTAATTTTTTGTAATTTATCTAATGTTACTTCAAAAAGCAATATGCAAATATCAAAAAGAGGAGTTGTATATACCACATGACATTCTGAAACTACAGAATGGAAGATTCTATATTAATATTTCAAATAACCACCAAAATTAACCACTTGGGATATTTCTCAAATCAATGTCTCACCAACAACTCAGTTAAGACAACAATTACAGATTCTAATATAATTTCTTTTTATAAAGTAAAAGTGAGATTAATACACATTTTATAAACGTTTATCCAGCTATCTAAAGCTCTACTCAGTGGCATCAGTGAGGTTCATAGTTTTAAATGTTTCTATTAGTTTGAAAAAATGGAAATGATGTTTACAATTCAGTGTGACAAAACAAGTTATACGACATAAGCCTGAAAGAAGTAGGAAGAAGAAAGTGATGATAATAAAAGCAGCAAACAAAACAATTAGAAAATAAAACAGTAGAACTGCTGAGAACTGATGGGTAAATCTAAGTATCATTCCTTGAAAGGATGAAGAACACAACAGAATAAAGACAAACCTTTAGCAGATGTGATTAGTACTAAAAGAATACAGGCATAAGAGAAACAAGAAACCCAGCTAAAAGGACATTTAGAAAAATAGAATATGTTTTACCATGTTACACTCAATATATATTTTTAAGTTATAGTGATAAATGGAAATTTGGGTAAATTGTAATTAAAAAATATAATACAGAGAATGAAACCCTAGAAGACATAAAATTATTGAACAAATAGGAAATAATGTCAGTATCTTTTTCTATTCAGAGTTTGAGGTCAAATAGTCATTTTTTTTCAGACTTCTAAGAAGCCTTATAATGGAGCTGCAAAGTCAGACCCCTGGGTGTCACCTTGCTTTGCCAAGTACTGGTATTGCCATTTGCCCTTGGTCAACCTGCTTGACCTTGTTGGCTGAGTGAATGAACCAGTGAATATGTACTGGTGTGTAGGAATGCTTTAGTTTGGAGGTTATCACAAGGCTTTAGTGAGATGTGAAGTTCTTAGCATAGGGTCTGTTAGTTGGTGAGTGTGCAGTTAACAAGTGTTATTGTTATCAAGTATTTTGTAGCATTTGGGAATCCATGAGTGACATCTTGATAGTATGTATTTTTTTCAGGTTATCCTAATCCAGAAAATTTTTCCTGGACGGAATATCTGGAAGCTACTCAAACTCATGCAGTTCCTGCCAAAGTTTTTAAAATGGTAGGTTCTGTGTAGGTATATGCCCTTACCTTTAAACAATGTCTGGCTTGTGTTATACCTGCATGTAGCAATTTTAAATTCTCCTTTTTCTTCTTAAATTCACATGGTATTTTCATAACCAATTTAGTTTGCTTTTAGTGAACACTACAAAGTAGGTGACTCATTTGCTATTGTTCCTATATACAAGTGTAGATATTCTTTCTTTTCTTGAAAAAACACTCTCCGGGCACACCAGAGGCAGTACTGAAAGCCCCTCATTGAGGGCTAATTATTAAGTCTCCTTCCATTCTCATTCTATTAGCCTGCTGACTGAAAACTCCAAGCTTTCAAAGCATCACTTTCTCAGACTGAATGTCCTTGATGTGATAACAAAATAGGCAAAATGTATGTAGTCTTTGTGTGTATTGTTTCACCCATTTTGCGGAAAACATTTTTTTAATTTTTTTTTTTTCAGTTTATTCAAAAGGCAGAGATCTTCCATGCCCTGGTTTACAGCCCAGTTGGGATATGGATGTCCCAAGCAGTATCTTAACCCTTACACCAAACACCCACTCCAGAAACATTTCTTTTACCAATTGTTAGAATACTAATTAGAAAAAAAAAATCACTCATTTATTTGAGGGGTTCGGAGGGAAGGAGAGAGAAATACCTATCCTCTGGTTCACTCCCCAAATTCCAACAGTGGCCCCAGAATGGACAGGGAGTTGAAGCCAGGAGCTGGGAACTCAATTCAGGTCTCCCACATGGATGGAAGGAAGCCAACTCCTTGGCTTCACAGCTGCCTTTGCAAGTCTCCCCTGGCACAATACTACAGTCAGAAACCTGGCCTGGACTCAACCCCAGTGCTCTGATTTGGAACAAAGACATCTTAGCTACTAGGTCAAATGCCTGACCCAGAATACTAATTTTTAAAGTTCAAATTTGTACTTATGTACAAGGCTGCTGAACTAAATGTTTATTTATGAGTAGTAGTGCATGAATAGTCCAAGTACAAATATTGTGGTTCTAATGTGGTAGTTTTCAAAACTCTTTCCTTTCACATCTAATCATTTGCCAGTCAGCAGGCTTCTACATGAGATTTCATTTTCTGAGAGTTCACTAGGGATCAAAAGGATTTGGGGAAATAGGTATAATAAAATTAAGATGGCAAGAAGTGATGGAGTACTACAGAGTATTCTAAGATCTACAGAAATTCATTGAGCACAATAACCTGCCTTTGGTAGACTTCCCTTCTCTCTTGCTTCCTTTCAAAACTTTTACTTTTCCCAGCAGGAAAGTATAAAAATATAATCACGAAAAGATTTATTTAAAAAAGTGTCTTCCATTCTCTGTTATGAGATTATTGTGGATCTATTCAATTATAATATCTTTGACATGTTCAATGCTCAGAAATCACCCTTGTAGTTCAGGACAATGACCTTGGAGAGAACAAAGTCAGTATAATCCATTTATTAGGTGTAATATTGCATTTAGAAGAACACATGCATCCACAAAAAGTTGAAGAGAAACATCAGATACTGATTATTCTCAGATATTATTAGGGTTTTATTTTCTGATACCATTGCTAGATTGTTAGTCCTTTCCAGTAAGATGAGCTGAAAACTTTTGTATGTATTAGCTTTCTAAGAGAAATTTTTTTGCCAACCTAAAAAAACTCAGAATTGTCTGATAGTTCCTTAGTGTGAACGATTGATAATTCCCACTTTTTTCACACTCCATTCTCTTAATTGTTACCTATGTGGTTGTCATTAAAAACTCTTGGTTCCCAGCATTTTAAGATTTGAAAGAAACCTTAGTGAAGTTTAACCCTCTAGTGTTACAAAAGAAGTGGAAAAACAAAGGTTGTGGTTTTAAATTACATTGTGGTGTGATATTTTTTAAACTTTTATTTAATAAATATAAATTTTGAAAGTACAACTTTTGGATTATGGCAGTTTTCCCCCCCATAATCACCCTCCAACCCACAAATCATCCCATTTCCTACTCCCTCTCCCATCCCATTCTTCATTAAGAGAGGGAGGAGATGTACAGTTCGGCACATGCTCACTCGGACTTACCCCTAATGGTAGAGCTAGAAACGTGCAGTGGGATTCCATATCCCATAAAGTTGGCATGTACCAATGCCATCTTACTAGCTAAAGTGATCAGTTTAAGTTTATAATTGATCATGAAGGTAGGATTAAATGTCAAAGGGATCACATAAACAAGACCAGTGTCTGCTAATAATAACTGATAGAATTAAAAAGGAGAGAATGATCCAAAATGGGAAGTGGGATACAAAGTGTGTGTGTGTGTGTGTGTGTGTGTGTATATATATATATATATACTCATAGAATGGCAGATGCCTGAAACAGTACTCTGGCCTCAAAAATCAGCCCATTGGGATCTGGCCCATGAGAGTTTCTCAGGCATGGAAAGCCAAGACACTGTGGCAAAAAAAAAAAAATGACCTAAATGAAAGATATCTCTTATGAGATCCCAGCGGAAAGAATGGGCCATCAAAGAAGAAGGTACCTTTCTCTGAAGGGAGGAGAGAACTTCCACTTTTATTATGGCCTTGTCTAAATAATGTCAGAGTTTGTGATATGATTTTAAAGCAATTTAACAAAGTTGAATTTATGAAACTGTTCTCTAAGCGTATTTTAAATTTAGCTTTTGTTTTTAAGATGTATTTATTTGAAACTCAGAGTTACACAGAGAGAGGCAGAGGCAGACAGAGAAAGAGGTCTTCCATCCGCTGGTTCACTCCCCAATTGGCCACAATGGCAGAGCTGCATTAATCCGAAGCCAGGAGTCAGGAATTTCTTCTCCGTCTCCCATGTGGGTACAGGGGCCCAAGAACTTGCGCCATCTTCTACTGCTTTCCCAGGCCATAGCAGAGAGCTGGATGGGGAGTAGAGCAACCAAGACTCGAGCCGGTGCCCATATGGGATGCTGGCACTGCAGGTGGTGGCTTTACCTATTATGCCACGGCACTGGCCCCTTAAGTTTAGTTTATAAAGGAATATGTCTGTCCTTTCAAAGTACTTATCAAATAATTCCGCCTTTGAAATCATACCAGGTCATTAGAATAGTCAACAATTCCTTAATTTTTGAAAATGATTTCAGAATAAAAGAAAAAAACCTAAGTTAATATATTAACTGTAATACAATTCTTTTTTAACTTTTGGTAACCATTAATTAATCTATGACTTAATCAAAAGTTATATTTTCATGTGTCTTTAAAATGAAAAAAAGACTCTCTCACGAGTTTTTGAAAACTGGGTATGATAAATGTGTTCTCTTAAAACTAAATTCCAGTGGTATTAAAGACCACATGCGGGTTGGTATTGTGGCACAGCGGGTTAAGGTTCTGCCTGAGAAGCCAGATCCCATTCATTTCTTGGCTGTTCCACTTCCTATCAAGCTCCTTACTAATGCATCTGAGAAAAGCAATGAAGATGGTCCAAGCACTTGAATCCCTGCCACCCACTTGGAAGACCTGGATGAGTTGCAGGCTCCAGTTCTCAGCCTGGCCCAGCCCCCTGATGTTGGGTCCATTTGGGGAGTGAACCAGCGGGTGAAAGATCTCTTTCCCTCTCTCTCTGTGACTCTGCCTTTCAAACAAATAAATCCTTTAAAATACATCATGTGTTAAAAACTATCTTTGAGAAAAAAATTAGTAGCATATCTGAGTTGATGGATTTTACATTATTTGTTGTATATTACAGAGATTGCCTCATGGTTTTCTGCCAAATATGAAACTTGAAGTTGTGGATAAACGAAACCCCAGGTTGATTCGTGTTGCTTCGATTACAGATGTTGATGACCAAAGAGTAAAGGTATACACTTTAAATTACTATGTTATATGTTGGTATTTTTTCCCACACTTCTTTTGTTTCCCCATCTCTCCTGTTCTCTTTACCTTCCAATTTTTCATTCATCTACACAGTGGTTTTCTAAGAAGGAAAGCCATTCTGTATCTGACCTTGAAGACTGGACTAGGGATAATAGGATGGTTAAAGTGGGAGGCAGTGTAACTGACACAGAGGCATTTCGAAGTGCTGATATATGTGTACAGTAGGAGAAAGCCCTGGCTGGGTCTTCCTTTCTAGTAACTACCTTCAAGGGGAGATTCCCAGCTCAGGTGTATCTGGGTGTGCAATGGGAAATCTGTAGATTAGATACGACCGACTTTGAGAGGGAGTCTGACACTTTCTGTCTGATTTGCTGCTTAGACTTTTTCCATCAACTCTCCTTTTAAAAGTTTCAGTTTTGTTGGCATTATCAGGTTTTTCTTGGAATTGTCATTAAAAACCCTATCAAGAACAATTAAGCGTTTCTTTGTAAAAAAAAAAATAAAAACACTTTATTCACTATAGCCAAAACACAAGGTTAGATTTTGAATGAAAGATTTGATTAACTGATCTGTAGAGTGTCCTTGTTAATGATGTTCTAAATACATCTTCAAAATGAAATTTTCCTGAAATGAAAGCTTTTTATCTTTTTTATTTAGAGAACTGAAAGCATATTGGAATTCAGTCAATCTTCCATAGCATGGAACAGTTGAAAAAATGATTTTTCACACGAACTCCAGATTATTATCAAAACAAAATGATTGAAGTCAACTAGTTTTAAAAGACACTAAGTTGAAAGATATATTTGTCTGATATACAGTTTGATATAATTTAAAGGAAATGTTATTTGATATATCTATAATTTGAAAGTAATAGCTGATTTATTTTATAGAGAATAATCAGACCTAAATTTTGGTAAAGTTTAGAGATGACTGTCCAGTGTGGCCATTGATTCAATAGCAAATATTGACAATGTCATTCATTCTAACAAATATAGATAGTGGCTCTGTTAAATTCCATTCAGGGATAATATAATATAGTCATTTTCTTCATTAATACCTTATTATTACTGTTTTATTTTAAACTAAATTTTATGCATACTGTTAAATTCTTTGTTTTTTGTTTACTTTTATGGAATTTTTTATGATAATGAATTCTGGTAACTGATTTGTAAATTGAGTCATATTTCATCATTAACTTTTATTATTAACTTTTATTTTAAAATTGTTGATTCTAGGAAAAGCTTGATCTTAATAGCGTATCAAATAATACCTAGAATTTAATTGACAAACTATTCTTTTTATTCATGAGATAGAAGGTGTAGTAGCCATTGATTGTTTGCTGCTGGCTTATTATGGGGTATGCTGGACTAACCTGTTACCTAAAAATATTCTAGGAAAATATTTTACTATTAAAGTGAACTCATGCTTCTTATTTACTATCTCAGCATTTGCCTCTTTAAATCTCTGAGCATTTAATAGATTTTTCCAAAAACAATTTTCACCATCTCCTTATTCTTTTTCTTTCATGGTAGTTGCTCTGTCCTTTATTGGAGGAAAATGAGTTGAAAAGTATTTGGGGACTCTGAGAGGATTATACCCATAATTGTTATCTCTGTGGCATAATGGAAATCCTGTTAGGGTTTTAGGACTAAATTAAGATGTGTCTGACCTGTGAAGTGGTGACTTAAAAATGTGAAATAAATTTTTCCACATATCATTTAGTCCATCAGAATCTGTCACTCTTGATTGACATTAATGTCCTAAGGCTTGCTTACTGCTGGAGCTGTTTACAGCCTATTCCTAACAAATTCTGCCATGGACCCTCCACTGTCCACCTCGATCTGTCTAGTCCTGCAGTTGGGTAGACAGTTATCTTTTCCCATAAGGCTGAGAGGGAAAGACTGTATCTGTTTCCTGGCCATTTTCCAAATAGAGAAGAATCAAAAGTAGCAGCATAGGGAGCAGGCATTAACTTATAATTTACTCTGGTTAAGATGCCTCTATCCCAATTTAGGATGCCTGGGTTCAGTTTCTGGCTCCAGCTCCTGACTTCAACTTGCTGCTGATGTATAAAAAGGTAGTGGAGATGGCTCAAGTAGTTGTGCCCCTGCAAGCTACATGACAGACCCAGGTTGTGGTCCCAGCTCCTGGTTTTGGTCCTGGACGTTGCAGGCATTTGGGGTAGTGAACCAGTTAATGCAAGTTCTCTCTGTCTTTAGCCACCTGTTTGTCTCTTTTTGTCTCTCAAATATAAACAAATAATAATAAAAATATTGTCTTAAGATTTTACTTATCAGTTTTTCTATGGTGGAAAAGACATTGAAAATGAGTGTCAGATTTTTATCTCTGAATTCTCATTAAAGGAGATCTCTTCTTTGCCTGGCATATTCCTTTATTTTTCAGTTAATTTGTTGATCATCCCATTCTGTAATTTTCTCCTTTAAAGTCATTATCCTTCAAAGATTATTATTATATACTCCCTAGTACATAATAGATGCTTAATATTTGTCTGGCTTATTGATGAGTGAGTGAAGGAGTGAATGATGCTAAACATTCTTTGAATCATAATCCATTTTGGTCAAAAAGCACCCCTCCCTGATTCTTAGTTCGTGTCCTAATTACTCTTCCACTAGAAATTTAATTGACCATAACATAGCAGAAAGAGCCTCAGGAAAGGACTGCTCTGGGTTTGAATTCCAATTGACTCTTATATAACTGTGTTATTGACTTGGTGAAGTTACTCAACTTATTTGATCTTTTCTTATCTATAACATGATGTGATCAATACAGCTACCTTCTAGGATTTTTTTTGTGTGTGTGAAAATTCAGTAAAGTACAATGCATGTAAGATTTCTAAAACTTTATAGGCACCTCAGTAGTGGCTGCCACTGTTAATAGTGCAAGCCGGCGCCGCGGCTCACTAGGCTAATCCCCCGCCTTGCGGCGCCGGCACACCGCGTTCTAGTCCTGGTCAGGGCGCCGCATTCTGTCCCGGTTGCCCCTCTTCCAGGCCAGCTCTCTGCTGTGGCCAGGGAGTGCAGTGGAGGATGGCCCAAGTGCTTGGGCCCTGCACCCCATGAGAGACCAGGATAAGTACCTGGCTCCTGCCATCGGATCAGTGTGGTGCGCCGGCCGCAGCGCGCCGGCCGCGGCGGCTTTTGGAGGGTGAACCAACGGCAAAAGGAAGACCTTTCTCTCTGTCTGTCTCTCTCACTGTCCACTCTGCCTGTCAAAAATAATAAATAAAAATTATAGTTAGTGCAAATGCCCTGTGCAGCTCTCCCAGGGTGTGTTTATTTTCTGGGTTGATGAAGGAGCCTCATGAAAGTATTTAGCATCTGTAGATGGGAAAGGAAAAGTTGACATGGTTTGGTGTAAAAGGCTTGGAGCTTAGGGCAGACATTTGGCATCTTGGACAAAGCATCCAAGCACCACTTGGGATTCTCACATATGTGGGACAGAGTCCCTGGTTTGAGTCCTGGCTGCTCAGCTCTGTCCAGCTTCCTGCTAATGTACTTCCTGGGAGGCAACAGATGATGGCTGATGTACTTGACTCCTTGCAACTCACTTGGGAGATCCAGATTGAGTTTTGGTTCCTGGCTTCAGCCTGGTCCAACCATGGCTGTTGCAGGCATTCTGGGGAGTGAAACAACATGACAGGAGCTCTCTTGTGTCTGTCTCTGTCCCTGTCTCTAACTTGGACTCTCAAAAAAAAATGAAAATAAATAAATAAAATTAAAAAAAAAAAAACAGGGACTTCAAATGTGATTGAGCTGCGTGCTTCGGTCTGTGAGTGAGGTTAGCTTGTTCTGTCAGGAACTACAGTAATAACAGTGGCAGCAGTGACGATGGCTCTCACGGCTTTACATGTGTTGATGTGTCCTCACCTTAACCATGTGAGATAGGTGCTGTTATTATACCCATTTTACAGATGAGGGAACTGAAGCCCAGAGAGGTTAAGCTATTGATCCAAGGTCACAAGTTGGTTTATCAGGCAACAGAATTTTACACTCTAGCTTTCAAACAGAGTTTTCTGATTTGAGCACTGATAATCTCCCTACTCCTTCTACTCTTATGTTCTCATTTTTATCCTAATTTACACTCTTCTGAGTGAAGAATAGATGTGTCACATTAGGAGTAGAGACCTCAGCCACCACTGTATTTTGTTGTCTTTCTTTTCTGCAGGTTTGCATGTGGAGCTAGCATTCCCTTGCTTCATTCCTTTTTATCACTCTACATGTATGTAGCTTCCCTTATGTGATTTATGAGTTCTATTTTTATAACTGCTCTTTGGAGATATAATTCATATACCATAAAATTCAGTGCTCTTGATTATCTTCACAAAAATTTATATTTATCACCATGAAGTTTAGAACATTTTTGTATTTTTATCACTCCAAAAATGAAACTATGCCCAGTTAACATTTATTCCTCATTGTACTCTCCCTCAATTTGCCTATTCTGGGCATTTCACATAAACTAATACATGACTGCCTTCTTTTATTTGACATAAAGTTTTCATTCCATTTCATTGCCAAATAATGTTCATTGTATAGACGTACCACATTTGGTCTGTCCCCGTATCAGTTGATAGACATTGGTTGTCTCCATTTTGGGGCTGTTTTGAATAATGGTGCTATGAACATTCAAGCACCTTCTTGTGTGGCATGTGTTTTCATTTCTCTTGGGTTTATATCTGAGAGTGAACTCTCTAAGTCCTGTGATAACTATGTTCAAAATTTTAAGGAACTACTGAAATGTTTTCCCACGTACCTGCATCATTTTATGTCCCCGTTAGAAGTATATGAGCGTTCCTGTTTTTTACATCTTTACCAACACTTGTTACTATCTGGTATTCTGTTTTCTTTTGTTTTGTCTTGTTTTAGCTATCCTAGTAGGTCTTATGTTCTTTAGATCCAAAAATACCGAGTTATCATTGTTTTAATATGCCCATTAGTAATATCATGGCCAAAATAAGTTGTT